GGTATGAGAACTGGCATACCCTTCTTGATCACATAATTCGGATATCCAGGCACCACAAAATCCTCTAGGCACTCCCGATTGAGAACTGGAAGAACCGTGTAGAGTCGCAGGGTTTCTGAAAAAAAAACACACATTTTATTATATTTAGCACAGTTTTTATATAATTTACTCTCTTGCTTACCCGATATAACCTGGTTCAAATACTGCATATCTTTGATACACTCATAGGTAAGATTCCCATTATGCTTGGTTAGAACCTCTTTGCACTCCTCCCTCAATCGATTCTGTATTTCCACATTCTGGGCTAGTTCATACAGGGCAAAGCCCATGGTCGTTGAAGAAGTTTCAAATCCAGCAGCAAAGAACAAAAAGGTCTGAGCGGCGATCTCTTCAATTGTCAGACTCGTATCCTCTCCGGTTTCGGTCTTTAGCAATCGATTATTTTTCAAGTCAATCAGCTGGTCCATGAAATCGTTGCGACGAACATTGTTTTTCTCCCTGAAGTCAACAGTTTCTCTTACGATTTTCATGAAGAAGTTTTCTATGTGTTCCGGTGTCAATTTCATATGTATACGTCGTGCAAACTTTGGAAAACTATTCAGTATCGAGACTCCCAATATACCATGGCGCTTATCAGCTAGAGATTTGCGACCCATGACGCGGAATTCTGCTTCAGGATCTTTAAGACTGTTGCACTCAATGCCAAAGGCGACACTACCGATGACATCCGTGGTAAACCGAGCCATCAGCTCTCTCACCTCAATCACCGGAGACCTGTCTACCATATCTCCAAAGACCTTGATGAACTCGTGGCTTATCTTAACTACCGTGGGAAACATGTACTTCATTTTACCCGACGTAAATGTGGATGAAAGCTTATTCCTCATTGATCTCCATTTATGGCCATCCAATAGAAAGAGCTGCCCAGACAGTGGGTCATCCTCGGGGTTGCTAAAGAATCCACGATCGGAAAACTTATTAAAGTCCTTTATCAGAATGTGCTTCACTAGGAAAGCTTCTAAGATAAACGCAGCTGGACGTTGGAACCAGTAAAAGCCCGCAAAGGGACCAGTTCCTTTGAACTTGTTGTAATAGTGCGTCCAAATCTCTGGAAATGCTCGCTCGGTTTGCACGCCCTTCATGCTGCCCATCAGAAGGCTGGGTTCCTCGCAGGGAATGCCCTTTCTCTGCCAATACTGCATGCGTTTACGCAGTCGCATGAACAGATACCCGATCGTTGCTATCAGCACGGTGAGTAGTAACGTAACAACACCCATAATGATCACAAAAATTTGCTGTTTTTCAAAATTAAACTCAGTTCGTGTAGTCTAAGCAAGTGCTGGTACATCACTGACAGCAAACGGTTGCCGGCATGGCTTTATAAAACACCGTCTCTATTGTCACAATGATTTTTATTTTGGTATCGCGTGAAGCATTGCCGGTAACACTCGCCGATTATTGCGTTGGCCCACATTCACGCGAGTCAATGCTTACACGTTTTATTTTTAAATGCTATCAGTAGACTCTTTGGGGCATTTTATTTTTGGCAAAGTTGGTTACCTAGCTATACATATTTAAGACAGCGCCATCTAGTGGTAAGTAGTGGAAGCTAAGACTTTATTAGTCTTATTTAACAGAAGTTGCTGGCATTAGTTTTAGCATGTATCTAATTGGGGATTGACTGATAATTAATATAAAATCAGATTTGGTTTTCTATTAAGTTTTGTTAAAAATTATATATATTTTATTAAAATAAATAATCAATATTAAAAACAAATTTCGGGCATAGCAAACTGATTCCATTTATTAATAATCTTAAAATGTTATTACTTAAATTAAATCAAATAAATCAAATCATATATTATAAGAAAAAATAATATTATTAATAATAATAAATAAAACAACTTAATGATCATTTATCTTACATATTTTTCGAATCTACTGAGAGCACAAATTATTTTCTTATCTGCAGCAATATAAACGTTGCGCTAATATGGAATGCTAGACTAGGAATGCTCATCAAAAGCGAAGTAAACTCTGCCAGCTTCATATCTGATTACTCACGATGCACGTCAGACTCCTGTGAATAATGTAAATAAATAAATAAGCTCCGTAAGGCAGTCAATGGCAGCTTTTCTCGTTAAGCTACGCGCTCCAAACATTGCGTAGATACGGAGAGCCGGTGCGATAAGTTTGCCAGGTGAGGCAAAGCTTTTGGCTCACTGTGATATACAATATATGTTAAGTTATTTAAGTACACACAATTGTTATATTTACCTACAGTGATCCGGCAACGCTGCCAGTATTTGCCTTTTGTCGCATTTTATTTTGACAATTGATTAGATTTCAAGTGCGGATAACACAAAAAAAATGGCAGTAAATGAACTAAAATTAAATTTCTATATTGTTTATTTTTGTTGGCGATATCTATATGAATTTTTGCTTTTTTTGACAATGAATAAATTATGTAAATAATAAATAAATAATTAATAATAAAAAATAAATAATAAATAATAAATAATAAATAATAAATAATAAATAA